CCCAGCCCCAGCCAAACCCTAGCCGCCCCAGTGCCGCACGCCACCCGATGTCCGCCGCCGCCTCGATTTCCGCGCCGGTTTTTTTATTTTTTTCGAAAAACCGTTCGGTTTTTCGTCGGTTTTTTTATATAGTTCGGTTTTTTTAAATAGATCGGTTTTCCAGTTTATTTAAATAGCGAGCGTTCGTCCGTTCGTTCGTTCGAGCGAACGTTCGTCGTTTTTCTTTTTCTCGGATTTAATCCATGATTTTTCTGATCGTGATTCCTGATCCGATTTTCTTTTTAGTATAACTTTTCGCTCATTTATCGCAATCAGGCGATTCAAGCATCTGGAGTTTCGTCTTGAAACCCTCTATCCGTTTAACCAACTTAAACAAGTTTTTGCTACTGTAAAATTTGCCCTAGATCCAGATTAGTAGAACGAAGTTGTTTTCTTTCGCCGTTTGACTTTCGATGCTTCGTTCGATTTGATTCTTTTTGCAAACCAGAGTTCTTAAGTTGAACCTTCTGGTTAGATCTCTATTTTGACTTTTACATGTGCATTAGATGAGTATTTATTGTATGCTTGTTTGTTGTTTGCGATAGAGTACCCGGAGTGTGCCGCTTGTTACTTCGAATCGCTAGGTTTCCCGGATCATCAGCAAGGCAAGTAACACTTTGATCATACCTTTTCTACTACCCAGTTTTATTGCATTAGATCAATCCTCACACATTGCATGATTAGGATCTAATTAAATTGTGGGATGGGAAGTAGTTGAGGTAGTACCTATTACCTGTTTATTATCAAACCTTTGGGAGTTACTTCTATGTTTGCTTATTATGCCATGCTATGCTAGTAGACATGGATTGGGTGAGTGATATCCATGACAGATGTGAGTGTTGTTAATTAATGGTTTATCTAAGGTGGCAATTTAAACACACATCTGGGTGGATTGAGGCATCTGGGTATTCCAGGACTTGCCTGTTTTCTTTTGGACCGCCACTCAGGCTTAAAGGGATCATGAGACTATTCATACTAGAAACTTCCGTGTGCAGCCACAAGCTATTATGGGCTCTAGCATAGTTGACTAAGTCGTGCGAACTCTTACAGTGGTAGACTAGCAGATGTAGGGGATGTAGGTGGTACGTTCTACCCGATCGTAAGGTGCTAGCGCTTCTGAAAGACTATGTCTCGATCATTCGTCTTCTCAAACACCATGTAGTGCGAGAAACCAAACGGAGGCGATCGAGTCTTGTGGGGAAAAGTGCGCAAACCTCTGCAGAGTGTAATAAAACTAATCATGGTTAGCCGTGTCCCCGGTTATGGACATCTTGAGTATCTAGTACTTGGATTATCATGTGAATCTCAACATGTTACCCTAAATTAATTTTGTTGGTTTTTGTTAATGATGATGCTTAATTGGGATTGAGAATGCTGTCAACCATTCTCAATATTTAACAACCACCGTGATAGTAATTAAATTTATTCCTTTGAAGTAGAAAAAAGTTGGCTTTACGCAAAACTGTAACCATAGAGCTTTCCACCAGCCAAATATGCATATAGTATAGCTGTTTCATTCCATTATTCTCTATGTGTTACCTTGCCAGCATATTCCATGTGCTGACCCGTTTCGGGCTGCAACGTTAATGTTGCAGACTTTTCAGACGACGATTAAGGAGTTTTTAGGTCGTGGTTCTATACTCAGTGATGCCGTTGGAGTTGATGGACTCACTTATCTTCCAAGCCTTCCGCTGTTAACGTTATAGATGGCCTTAAGCCATATTTATTGTAATAAGTTCTCTCTTGAGACACTCGATGTAATAAGTGTGTGATTGCTACTCTGTTATAAATCCTCCGAGTATTGTGTGGTGTCAGCATTACTGATCCAGGAATGACACCGGAGCACAGAGATCAGACTGTTTGAGGTCTGGTCGCTACAAGTGCCTTATTAAGCAATGACAAAGGAAGTAATGCAGATAAGGTTCAGGATAGTGACACATCCTTGTTGGTCTCCAACAAAGCTGATAAAACAGCTAAGGAAGACTATCTTGAAGACAGCGAGACAACCCCAAAGTCCTGTCTTGGTTTAGTGTTCGAGTTACTGGCCACTAGCGCTTGCACAAGCTATTCAAACTCACTGTCTGAATCAGTTCGGTTTTTTGAGTCTCAACTACAAGCTGAAAGACATCGATCAGCTGTGCTGCGACAAGAAGCAGAAGGACTGCGGAAGTCCCTGGAGCATTCAGATGCATACTTTCTGGTGCAACAGCAAGCGTTGGAGGATTTTAGCGCCAAACAGGACAAAGCTAATCAGCTTGCTAAGCTCATTGCCAGCATGGTGGATACCCAGGATAACATTTCTTGAGCTCTTTTGAAGTCGTTTCAGTTATGCTCTTGTTTTGCTGCCGCGTTTATTTGCACTGGTGGCCAATTTTGACGGTCGGTGTATGTAATGTGCTGCTTTGTTCCCTATATTTGCACTGGTGACGAACTTTGATGCTCAGTGGATGTAATATGTGTAATAGCGGTAATAGGCTAGCGTTAATTGCTTGCTTATTTATTTCCTTATTATCTTGTTTAGTTGTTTGCATGTAGTCACTGCAGTTATTTTTCTGTTTTTTTCTAGTGGCCACAATAGCCTATTTTTGGTAACTAGGCCAAAATAATCATGGCAACACACGAACTGTGGTAACCATGGGCCTCCTGCAGGCCGTATGATCCATGGGCCTTCGTCCGGCTGTAGGATCCATCGGCCTTCTATACGGGCCTTAGGGTCCATGGGCCTTCTACGGGCCGTAGGGTCCATGGGCCTTCTACGGGCCGTACAATTCATGGGCCTTCTACGGGTTGTACTATCCATGGGCCTCATACGGGTCGTAGGATCCATGGGCCTTCTACGGGGCGTATCATCATTTCGCCAATCATGGGCCGTACTATTCGTGGACCATAACGGGCCGTTAATAGGTCGTATTTGATAACTCTATGAAAACAGTCCAACGGGTTTTTTTGACATGAAAATGGCCCAACGTATTAACGGTTCACAAACGGGCCGACTGAAATGACGGGCTGAATTTGGCCCACAGGCAGAACAGTAACGGGCCGTATGTAACCGAATGCTGCAAATGAGCCCAAGAATCAATGGGCCCTGAGAAGGCCGAAAGATAACTTGGGCTGGAAACGGCCCAATGAAATAATGGGTCGTTAATGGGTATAAAGTGATACACTGTTCATTACGGGCCAGTTTCACCACGGGCCGTTAATGGGCCAAGAGTTACAAAGGTCCTCATATGGGCTGAAAGAAGTCATGGGCGACACATGGGCCGGAAGTTAAAACGGGCTGAATCATAGTGGACGGCCCAGATGACGCTACTGGGCCTAATTCAGATAGGGCGAACAGGCCGTTAACAGGCTTTCCGTGGGCCGGCCCGCCACCTTTTGACCAAGTCAAACGGGCTGGCCTTTTCACAGGAATGGGCCTCTGTTGGGTCGTGCCATGTGTCGCCGTATCATAGGCGCCTTCGGTCCAATGAGCGGATGACATCTGTCCCAACGGTGAGCCGACACGTGTTTCCTCCAGCCAATGATGATTTTACACGTGGAAAATCTCCATTGGTCGAGGCTGTTAGCGGGTTATCGGATCCAAAACCTGACCCGATAGCTTAACGGCGTTCCGTTACGGTGGATGTCACGTGTCGGTCACCCTTGACGAAAGCACTTCTGTGACGCGCGATTTATCGTGATGAAAGTGGACACTTCCGTGATAATAATTTTGGTAATGTCATGAAACACTTCTACGACAGCACAGGTATGATTATCTTGATTCTGTCATAAAATCGTCGTGGATGTACATGCATGACAAAAAACACGCCCTACTATGACAAACATGTATCGTCACAGAAGTGTATTTTTTTAGTATAATTCACTGATCATTGAATCTGATAGTACGTTCCAGTGGAAGCCTTTAATCAACAAGAAGCATATTTTCGTCCTGAGGCGGCTATCATCATGGAGTGTAAGCAAATGCAGTTGGAATTTGCAAAGACTTCCTTTGTGCATTGTTTTCGTGAAGCGAATGAGGTAGCAGATAGCTTAGCTAGAAATTCTCTTACCATTAGATCTTAGGGATTTTGAGATAGTTCTATCCCGGACTTTATTTCTCCTCTTTTAGTAAATGACTGTCTATTATGTGAGGAATAAAGTCTATTACTATATTTGATGTCAAAAAAAAGTCTTGTGGCGATGATAAAATTCTTTCGAGTCTTGCTCTGAGGGTTTCAGAAAATTATGAAATTTATAGGTTTGGAATTAGGTCAAACAAAGTTGTGGGGCTCCCACAAGCTTGCCCACAACCCATTCTTAACACCCTCCCCTCCAAAGCTTCTAGTGTTGCATATTTTCAACAAAAACTCCTCGTAAATTTTTTCATGTTTGGACTTTTGTAAGTATGCATTTTTTGTAAAGCCAAAAACATGCAAAAAAAAACAGGAGCCGACACTGGACACTAAATTAATAGGTTAGTTCAGAAAAATAATATAAATAGCATATGACATATAAAATGATAATATAATAGCATTTAACAATTAAAAACTATAGATATGTCTAAGGCGCATCATTGTCCAGGTCTCTCCATATTTGGCCTAGATATGAGTTAGATATGAAGAATGTCGGTGAGCCCCATACACGTAAGACCGGTTTGAGGGAGCCGGCTGGGTCGTGATGTTTTCACCGGTTAGTGATCGAGGTTATAAAAAAAAGATTAGTGACCGACCCGTCTGACCCGGATATATGGGGCAATAAAGGGGTTGGCATCGATGAAATGGCAAAAATTGCATCTGAATATACGAAGCTTGGATTAAGAAAAAGAATTTCACTAACCTACCATCTAGTCTAGACGGATAAAAAGAGAGTGAGCCCGTCTCAAAAAGAGAGAGAGAAAAAAAAAAGCGAAACGACGCTTGGTGGGCTGCTCCATTCCGGGTTCCGGCCAGAATCATACCAAACCCTCGCGTCGCCCCGCCACCATGGCCGACGGCGCCGCCTCCCTCCTCCCCACCGCCGGATACGACGGCGAGGACCGAATCAGCGCCCTCCACGACGACCTCCTCTGTGCCATCATCTCCCGCCTCTCCGTCACGGACGCCGCCCGCACCACCGCCCTCTCCCCCCGCTGGTGCCACCTCTGGCGCTCCACCCCGCTCGCCCTCGACGATGTCCACCTCCACGAGTCCGTCCGTGACGCCGTAGTCCCCCGGATCCTTGCTGACCATCCGGGGCCCTTCCGCGCCGTCCGCCTCGCCGAATGCAGGTCAGCCTCCCTGGACCATGAGCTCGCCGAGTGGCCGCGCCTCCTCGCCACCAAGGGCATACAGAAACTCGCCCTCGTCAACAAGCACGCCCAGGCGCAGCACACCTTCTCGCCCCTCCCGGCTGACATCCTCCGTTGCGCCTCTCTCCAGAGCATCTCGTTGAGCTTCTGGACGTTCCCCGTTGACCTCTCCGACGTCTTTCTTCCCAAGCTCCAGAGTCTCAATATGACAAGAGTTGACATGAGCGACCATGACCTGGAGTGCTTGCTTGCTGTCAGCCCCGTTCTGAAGATCATTGTGCTCGCCCGCAACAAGCCCAAGCATGTGCATCTCCGCAGCCAAAGCCTCCAATGCGTGGTCATTGGACGCTCCGCGGTGAAGGAGGTCGCCGTGATGGAAACACCACTCTTGGATCGCCTTATCTTGTTGGATCCGCCTCGTGTTGTCGGAGGTGCTGGTATGAGGGTCAAGTTTGCCTGTGCACCCAACCTGCGGGTGCTTGGCTACCTGGAGCCCAGAGGTCACAAGCTGCAGATCGGCGACCATGTCATCGAGGTACGGTGCCTCTCCATCTCTATTTCAACACGAAATTATTTGGGGATTTTAGAAAATCATTCCATCCACTGAGATTAGTACAAATTACTCCATCCATCAATAAATGAGTATGTTGCATATCTGTTCGGGTGCACTGCATTGCAGCCAAACATGAAGGCAAGCCCAGGAACCGTGGTTCCAAGCGTCAAGATATTGGCCTTGAAGGTGAATTTTGGTGTCTTGGGGGAGGTCAACATGCTTGCCCGTTTCCTTAGATGCTTTCCCAATGTTGACACGCTTCACATCGAGGTTTCTCCCATTTCTTTCCGTCAGTCGATCATTTGGCAATGGTATTTCAATTATTAGCAGCATGATCCACATATGTAACTGAACTGTCCATGCATTGGTATAAATTTGCAGTCTCTCCGGCATGATCCATTCGTAGCTGGCTATGATCCAACGGGGGAGTACCATGCCAAGTTCTGGCAGGAGGTCAGTCCAATTAAATGCTTGAGATCACACGTCAAGAGGATGGTTTTCCACAAATATCGAGGGTATCAAAACGAATTTGAATTCCTCAAGTTCATCGCCAAGGGTGCGCTGGAGCTGCAGTCTTTGGTGCTTGTGCCGCGTGAAGAAAATTTTGCTTTACGACATGAGATGGATGAGATGATAGACGGATTGGGGTGTCCACGGTTTCGAGAATGGACCTCCAAAGTATTGCTGGTGTTGACTAAAGTAGACGTTGCTTTTAGTTTGAAGGAAGCATCTGATCTTACTGTCGACGACCCTTTTCCCTGCTCAATGCATGGCTAATTCGTTCAATATATATATACAAGATCGATCCCAGCCTTTTGGGGAATCATCGACTGCCGTAGTGCAAGATCACAATGTTAAAGTTTGAAGGCATGCTATCTCTTGGATTAAACCAGGTTTCAACTAGGAGTACCAAGAGTACATGTAAGTATCTAAGCTGGCAGAACTACTGAAAAGGCCAGCGTTATCTTATCATGTTATCTAACGTCATGTATTACTAGTGATAAATCAACTACTATGTGGTTCTGAAATCTGATATAGTAGGCCTGCTTTGTAGCCATTTTCTCTGCTATGCTTTGTAGAGTGCACCTCTGTCAGTTTTTGTTCATATCATCAGATGATCAGACTATACCAAGCTAGGTTGACAAGTTTTCCAGTGCTATGCAACAGAAAGAAAAAAATAAACTTGTGCTAGAACTGAATTGAGGAAGACTCCTAGCAAGTTGCTGTTCTATGCACAAAGGCCATATTTCTGAATCGGTGAAGGTCTTTGTGTTGTCTGGCAAAAACTGAGCAAGGTCTGGGAGCTACCCCAGAATAAGATTTCAACTTCCCAGGACCTGACTGGCTCCTGCACCTGCTAAGTAAATCTGGCCTGATCTTGTATCCTGCTGTTATTTTAGAGGCAATGGCGCCTTCCTAATAACACAGTTAATAGTAAGTCTCAAATCTTTGCTTCAGCGCACTTCCTGCAAAACCATCTCCAGTCTCACTCTGGAGAAGTTGTCTGCTCTGTGTTGTTGCCTCCGCATTCTGGAATCTGGGCTGGTATGTATAGGGCCTGTTTGGATGCTCGCATCATTTTTGGGTTTCCCGGGAATCTGGACAGGTAGAGCCTATTCTAGGTGATACGAGTTCTGAGCCATGTTTTGCAAGTTGTTTGGTTGCCTGCGTTGCCTTTCCTCGCATGAGCAGAAAGAAACAGAAGCATGGCGTTTGGTTGCATCCATATGCTGTCCAGATGCAATGTTTAGCTGTTTGGTTAGGTGCATACTGATGGTTACTCTCAACTCCTGTCCATATGGTGAACTTATCTCAGACCACCACACAACTTCGTCTATGAGTGTCAAAATAAAAACTTACCACATGAGTTGTGTGAAACAATGAGATGAAGTTAGATGTCAAAAATTTCAAATGAGCGATCATGTGTGATGGATTTGATGAAATTCACCTAAATTAAATCCAAAGTTGAACATGAAATCGAGGAGTTACAGCTAACGAAACTTGGAGTCAGTTGCTGGAATGGAATCACATCCTCAATCTTCATCTTTTTCATCTAGACCTCTCGTGAAAGCAGTGGATTGACAAAGTAGATGATCAAGAGGGTATGTGAGAGAGCTTGAAGAAAATAAGTTCACACACATGAACACCTGCACTACATTAGAAAATGTAGATCTATTCGTATATGACGATCGAAACACAAAACTTAAAACACGAAAGTTGTGTGACGGGAGAGATCAAACTACTTCTCAAAATAAATAAAAAATGATCGACCGTGTGCGATAGTTTTGACAAAATTTTCCTAAAAAACTCTAAACATAGCCCCTCCATTTCTTTTTAATTTGCATATGAGATTTGGTCAAAGTCAAACTTTGTAAAGTTTGACTAGGTTTGTAGAAAAAGATATCAGCATTCACACTATGAAATCAATATTATTAGATCCATGATGAAATTAATTTTCATAACATATAACTTTAGTGTTGTGGATGGTGGATGTTGATATTTTTTTCTATAAAATTAGTCAAACTTTGATTAGTCAAACTTTTAAAGTTTGACTTTGACCCATTTTTTTTGAAACAAGGCAAAAGATTTGCCATTTTCATTGATTAAGAAAGAAGGTTTACACTTATGCCCACAACACGGGGAAGAAAACAACTACTCTTGGGGCATTACATACTCAAGTATTTCACACCCGCTAGAGCCCAAAGATGGGCCTCTTCCTTGACCCTCCCGACAATTAACATGGTCGGTGCGGCGGTGTTGCGGAAAACTCTCGCATTGCATTTCTTCTAAATCTCCAAAGGTACCAACATCATCAGCGAAGTGAGAACCTTCCAGTGCGGTCTTGTATTGTTCACTGTATCAGCCCAAGCCAAAGTAGAGAAATTCAGGAGGCCCAGCCAGTTTGCTCAAGCCGAAGTGAGAGCCTTTGACCCAATTTTATATATAAACTAAAAAGAAACGAAGGGAGTACATACATAATTGAAGTTTAATAGACAACGAAACCAGGAACTGATCACAGAAAGAATGTCGATGTGCATCTTTTTCTATAAAGTTTATCTTGAATTGAAGCACCATTGTATAAATTAAAAGTGATTAGTGGAGAAGATTAAGAAATACAGGTGCTCGGCCTTTAAGACTGGGGTTCATCAACAGCACCTTCAGGATCCTCACTGGCTGAAGGTGCCGGTCAATTTCTAAGCAAACAAACAGCTCAGATTTGGACCCAGAAAGCCTGCATCAAATCCTTCCTCCTTTATCTGTCACACGCTATTTGCTCCAAAAAATATATATATTATCACACCTACCCCCCTCAAAAAAAAAAATTGTATCACACGCTAACCCTTCCAACCTCACGTAACCCATTTCTGGAGTCCATTCCGTCTCCGTGGTCTCGGGCGGCGCTGTTGATGAACCCCCGCCATGCCCTTGAGCTCCTGCGCCAGTGCCGCTCCATCCGACACCTCGACCAGCTCCACGCCCACCTCCTCGCCCACGGCCCATCCACCGTCGCCTCCCTCGCCTCCCAGCTCGTCGCCTCCTACTGCGCGCTCTCCGGTGGCGCCGGACACGTGGGACTCTGCCACGCCCGCCGCCTGTTCGACAGAGTTCCCGAGCCGGACAGGTTCGCGTACAACAGCCTTATCAGGGCGTACTCCAACAGCGGTTTTCCCCAGGAGGCGCTGTGCCTGCACCGCGACGCCCTCCGGCGCGGCATCCTGCCGAACGAGTTCACACTGCCCTTCGTGCTCAAGGCGTGCGCCAGGGCGCGAGCCGCAGAGCACGCGCTGGCCACCCATGGAGTGGCTGTCAAGCTCGGTTATGTGCGGCAAGTGTTCGTGGGCAACGCGCTCCTGCACTCGTATGCGTCGGCCGGGTCGCTGCGGGACTCTCGGCGGTTCTTTGCTGAGATGGCGCCGGACAGGAATGTCGTGTCGTGGAACACGATGATTGGTGGATATGCACAGGCCGGGGAGACCAGCGAGGCGTGTGCCTTGTTTGGAGAGATGAGGCGCCAAGGAGTGTTGGCCGATGTGTTCACGTTCGTCAGCCTGCTTCTCGTTTGCTCAAGCGAGGGAAATCTTGAGGTTGGTCGGCTGGTGCATTGTCATATGTTGGCTAGTGGATCCCGGGTAGATCTGATTCTTGGCAATGCACTGGTAGACATGTACGGTAAGTGCGGGGATCTGTGGATGGCTCGTAGATGTTTTGACGTGATGCCGATAAAGAATGTCGTTTCGTGGACTTCCATGCTTTGTGCCCTGGCGAAACATGGCTCGGTTGATGCTGCGAGAGATTGGTTTGAGCAGATGCCGGAGAGGAACATAGTCTCTTGGAATGCCATGATCTCTTGCTATGTTCAAGCTGGCCGATTCTGTGAAACTTTGGGTCTTTATAACCGTATGAAATCTCTAGGTCTCACTCCAGATGAGGTTACCTTGGCTGGTGTCCTCTCTGCCCATGGACAAAATGGCGATTTGGCCTCTGGAAGGATGATGCACTGTTATATCAAAGACAATTTTAGTGATCCTGGTGTCACTCTACTTAATTCACTTATTGATATGTATGCAAGATGTGGCCAGGTAGACACATCCATAAGTTTGTTCACTGAGATGCCCAATAAAAACACTATCTCTTGGAATGTGATTATTGGAGCGCTAGCCATGCATGGGCGTGCACAAGAGGCAGTCATGTTCTTCAGGGCTATGGTATCTGATGCCTTCTCCCCTGATGAGATCACATTTGTCGGTCTTCTTTCTGCATGCAGTCATGGTGGTCTACTAGAAGATGGACAGTATTACTTCAAAGCCATGAGACATGTTTACGATGTTAAGCCTGAAGTTGAGCACTATGCTTGCATGGTTGATCTGCTTGGTCGCCGTGGCCATCTTGCAAAAGCTGTTGATCTAATAAAAGATATGCCAATGAAGCCTGACGTTGTGGTTTGGGGTGCATTAATTGGAGCCTGCAGGATCCATGGCAATGCAGAGATCGGCAAGCTAGCGATCAAACAACTGCTTGAGTTGGAGGGAATCAATGGAGGCTTGTTTGTCCTAATTTCTAATTTGTTGTATGAAACTCACCAGTGGGAGGACATGAAAAGGCTAAGGAAGCTAATGAGAGAGCGGGGAACAAAAAAAGATATGGGTGTTAGTTCAATTGAAGTAAATAACAACATACATGAATTTGGAGTGGAAGACGAATGCTCAAGTGAGATATACGCGGCAGTTGATCAGTTGGCGTATCATTTAGTCTCTCTGCATGTCCTGGCTGTGCAGCCTGTAGAACTCATCATGGAAGAGTGAATAAGCTATTCTGTGCCTGATGCAGAGCATGAGCTGCAAAGGGATATATTCATACCAAGTAGCCTGTCTGAGGAAACCTGAAGGTAGGTGTAAAGAAGCATCCCTGAAATAGTGAAAGTATGCCTAGGTTCATTTGAATTTTGAACATTGAATAATACAATTTCAGGCATTTATTTATTCACATTTGAATCCTGTAAACTTGAGCTTCCTTTGATGTAAACCTGCATTTTTCCTGCTAATCGGTTCAGTTTCAGGCTTTCTGCAGATACCACGGTTCAGTGGGGCAACCAACTCAACCGACTGTACAGACAGTTAGGTCAGTGGCATTACATCGACAACACTCAGGATTCTCTGCCTTGGCTGTGATGTCTCATCAATATCTGGAGAAACTAAAGCTCATAAACAGTAAGTTCATCAAACCGGAAGGACCGCCGGAGAGCATCCTGACTGCTAATCACCTGTAAGGAACCAAAT